CGCACGCTCAACCAACATAACTAAAAACTCATGGGTCAGGTCAGGGGTCCATTGAACGGACTCACTCATCTAATAACAATAGGGTGAGAACAACAACCAAGTGTAAAACATATAATCAGCACACATATTAAAACGAACATATGCAAATTAAAACCTTATAAACTAAACAAAGAGAAATTATTACCTCGTTTGACCCAACACTACTTGAAGCGGTATGTACAGGGGATACTACATGCAAAGTAGACCAATAGGGTCTTTGGTGTACTCCAAGTGTAGAAAAATGTCGAAACTTTTTCCTTTGTCGAAAGCAATAATCAATCATACGACGGTGGGCTGAATTATACCTCCACTTGTTCATAGCATCGTAATTAGTTATTACAATCAAATTAGAGTTGTCAATCTACAAAATAAATTATACATAAGTTAGAAAAATCCCAAAATCTCAAAAAACCAATAAAAGTACAAACATTCAGCTAGCCAATCAAATTTGAATATCAATAGAATAAAGGAATTTAGAATAGATGATACACTGCCACACCACAGCATGGCCACACACAAAGCTACCAATTGGGACGGACCCGAAAAAGCATGACCCTAAACAAAGAGTTAGGACGCCTAACCAAACAAAAAAAAGGAGCTACCAAAAACACCTTTTACAAACCACAACTAGGTGCCATGGACCAAAAAAAAAAAAAAACAACCAATTATGCTATACAATGGCCCTTTACATGGCCAAGAGAGGAGCAACACAACCCCAAAAAAGAACAGCACAAGAACCTCCTCAAACAAGGCCAAAATCAGATCCCAGCTCAACGACAAAAAAACCATTCCTAGATCCAAGCCCCCATATTACCACCAACTAAAGAATAAGACCATTCCCAGCCAACAAGTCAGAAATGGCACATAACCAAAAGCACAAAAAAACCAGCCCAGTATTAGCCACCTTAACCATACACATTAAAAAATGTAGCACCAAGCAAAAAGAGATCAATTGCACTTGAGAAAAGCACCCTGTACCCCACAACAAATCCAAACCTCCAACTCCAAGCCCCCACATCACCACCCAAGCCAATCTTCCCCGACACCTGCACAACCTCAACCAAAAGCAAGGCAAAATAGTTCAACCCAGCAGCCAAGCCACACATCCAGTAGCCCCCAAACCAACCCAGCAGCATACTGTTAGTAATCGATGAACAATTGTAGTGAAACAACAAAAAAACAAATTGCCCATCGATTACTCTGATTTCGCCAACATCAGGGTATATATATATTACATGCTTAAATTGAAATAACATAAATCCATGCAAGGATTAGATAATACCTGCAATTGGAGGCTCTGTCAATGTCTCTGAATGTGATTCACTACCAATTCGAGAATGGAATCGAACTCACGTTGTCACATGAAGATAGTACGCCAATGACCAACAATTAATTTTGCTAGAATTAATTGTTGGCTTTAAGGAGTAGGGATTTTGGAAGACTGAGTGTAGAGTAAAGAAGAGAGAAATTTTCTCTTCAAAAAGATCTCACCCACGGCACAAATGAATTAGGTTAGTAAAACCTAATTTTTCTTGCTTTAAATAGAAAAGTGAATATCTATTCCACCCCCAAAGTTTAGCAACAACCCAAACTTAGGTAGAATTACATGTTAGCCCTTATTTAATTATTTAGTTAAATGTTAACTCTAATAATTAAATTTATAATTTTGGTAAATTGCTCCAATAATAAAATTGGACATAGGCTACAACCTCGGTAAATTTAATTACAGAGCAAAATTACCAATATGCCCATCATCTAAAAGACGAATATACCATTCCAAAATTTACCATCCTTAAATTGTCTTCTCAATGTGTGACCCGTAAGCTCCTTATCATATCAGTAGTGAGTAGTATCACAATTGACACCAATCAATCATCTCACTATACAAAGACCAAGATTGGCTCCTAGCAAGGCATCATGGCTACTCGATAGATTCGGATTTAGCGAAATAGCTACCTATCAACAATATGGTTACCGTGCAAGCAAATCCTTTTATCATTTGTTATCTCATTAAGGCTGAGGTACAAAAATAGTGTCAACCTCAGTTATCCTCAATATCTTTATATTTAGTTACTAGACTAATGATTGGAATAATAAATTGGATTGAGCAACAACTTAATCCCACTATAGGCACAACTTTAGTGTCATTTCCGTTCATTGAATTGCGCTATGAGATAATTTCTCCCATACCCAAGACTAATGAATCCTTTGTCGATCAATCATAGTTTCGATACGCTCATCGATGTAGCCAATCAATACTATATTGATAGCTCTAAATAGAACTATGTTGGGCTAGTGTCAAACGACACCAATCGGTGCACAAGACACTCCAGTGATCTCAAGTCTAAGGATCACATGCAGCATCATTCGTTAGAGGATTTATTCCATAAACTCTAGGGTTACCATCCATATGGAATCCTTTGGTGGATCTGTCTAGTAAACTTGCCTACAGTAAGCACCCATGTGTTGCATCAGGCTGTCTACAAACAACCTTGACAAGTGAGATCAGTCACTGTCTTTCGACAAGGTCGTTCAACATTATGATAGCTTTACCGTATTATATGTGCCCTTAGTTAGAATAATATTGGGGCTACAACATTTCTAGAATGACCACCATATGTGATCATAGGGTTCTCACTATCAAAATTTGAAACACTTGATACCTTCATCATGATTCTAGCATCCTAAGGACATATATCAATATATACAATTATGATTTACACGATATAGAATAAAATGTCTTTTATTGATTAATAAACACTGTTACAAAAAGTCAATTCTACAATATTTGATTAGCTCTAGGGTACCCACTCTAACACATACTAGCAACCAACGGCCAAATCGTGGCGAAAACACACATACAACAACCCTTAAACCAACCTAGCAACAAACCAGCATCCAAAAGCCAAACCCTAGCCACCAAAGAAATCCAACCACACACTAGCCTAGGCAAAACATAAAGGACCCGACAAGGGACCAGGCCTGCAAGAAACCAAAAATAGACCTATGCCAACCTTTCCTTACACACACAAAATCTCAACCAAATGTAGGGTAGAAACAGTTCAGCCCAACAACCAAAACACACATCCAAGAGCCCCCAAACCAAACCAATAGCAAACCAGCATCCAACGGCCAAACCTTACCTCTAGCAGCCCCCAAACTAGGGGTGGGAAAAAAAGTCAAGAAACCGATTCGAACCGAAAAACCAGATAAAANTTTGAAACACTTGATACCCTCGTCACGGTTCTACCATTCTAAGGACATATATCAATACATATTGCAATAATAATGATTTACGCGGTATAGAATAAAATGCCTTTTATTATTGGTTAATGAACATTATTACAAAGAGTCAATTCTACAATAATTGATTGGCTCTAGGGCATCTACTCTAACACAATTGACACCAATCAATCATCTCACTACACACAGACCAAGATTGGCTCCTAGCAAGGCATCATGGCTACTCGATAGATTCGGATTCAGCGAAATAGCTACCTATCAATGATATGGTTACCGTGCGAGCAAATCCTTTCATCATTTGTTATCTCATTGAGGCTGAGGTACAAAAATAGTGTCAACCTCAATTATCCTCAATATCTTTGTATTTAGTTACTAGACCAATGATTGGAATAATAAATTGGATTGTGCAACAACTCAATCCCACTGTAGGCACAACTTTAGTGTCATTTCCGTTCATTGAATTGCGCCATGAGATAATTTCTCCCATACCCAAGACTAATGAATCCTTTGTTGATCCATCATAGTTTCGATACGCTCCTCGATGTAGCCAATCACTATCGTATTGATAGCTCTAAATAGAATTATGTTGGGCTAGTGTCAAACTATACCAATCGGTGTATATGACACTCCAATGATCTCAAGTCTAAGGATCATATGCACCATCATTCGTTAGAGGATTTATTCCATAGACTCTAGGGTTACCATCCATATGGAATCCTTTGGTGGGTCTGTCTAGTGAACTTGCCTATAGTAAGCACCCATGTGTTGTACCAGGCTGTCTGCTAACAACCTTGACAAGTGAGATCAGTCACTGTCTTTCAACAAGGTCGTTCAACATTATGATAGCCTTACCGTATTATATGTGTCCTTAATTAGAATAATATTGGGGTTACAGACATTTCTAGCATGACCACCATATGTGATCATATGGTTCTCACTATCAAGATTTGAAACACTTGATACCCTCGTCATGATTCTACCATCCTAAGGACATATATCAATATATACAATTATGATTTACACGATATAGAATAAAATGTCTTTTATTGATTAATAAACACTGTTACAAAGAGTTAATTCTACAATATTTGATTGGCTCTAGGGTACCCACTCTAACACATACTAGCAACCAACGACCAAATCGTGGCGAAAACACACATCCAACAACCCCTAAACCAACCTAGCAACAAGCCAGCATCCAAAAGCCAAACCCTAACCAGCAAAGAAATCCAACCACACACTAGCCTAGGCAAAACATAAAGGACCCGACAAGGGACCAGGCCTACAAGAAACCAAAAACAGACCTACGCCAGCCTTTTCTTACACACACAAAATCTCAACCAAATGTAGGGTAGAAACAGTTCAGCCCAACAACCAAAACACACATCCAACAGCCCCCAAACCAAACCAATAGCAAACCAGCATCCAACGGCCAAACCTTACCTCTAGCAGCTCCCAAACTAGGGGTGGGAAAAAAGTCGGGAAACCGATTCGAACCGAAAATTAGGTTTTTTTTTTTTTTTTAAAACTGGTTTAGTTCCAATTTGGGAAAATTGAAAAACTGGATAACCGATTCGGTTTTCGGTTTTAGAGTAACCTCCAAGGTGGTTAACCGAATCCGGATTATTAAATCAGTTTTTAACTAAAAAACCCTAGGTATAAATTAAACATTAAATTCTAATTACTTTTTACACTCCACCACCACCCACCCACCCATCCCTATTGATTCACTGAAACTTTGAAAATCTAAAATCTCATCACCGTTAGACTCCACGAACGACGAACAGCGACAACCAGTGACTACCACGACCATAACTCCATGAATGATGAACGACGAAGAGTTCTCTCATCTGCGTACGACGATAATCTAGATTAATTAACCATCATGAGCCCACGGACAATGAATGGCAAACGGCGCTTCAGTTCTTCAATCCTCAACTGCTCCACAACCACTAGTCCACTGCTGATTTAGCAAGGTAAGCTGTCAGCTGATTTCAATCTCTGATTTAGCCCATTTCTTCTTTTAATTAATTTGTTATGGGTGATGTCAGCTGTGATGTTTTTGTATATAATGTTTTAGATTCAACATCATTTCGTTTGACCCATGTGCTTACTACTTAGTGCTATGTGTGTTTTAGATTCATTTGTTAAGAGTTTTTTCATTTGACCCATGTGCTATGTACGGAATTTGAGCTGGCCATGTTAATTAAAAATACAACTTTTGATGGGTGTTTTGTTTTCTGGAGTGGGTATTGACTATTGTACGCGGTTCTTTTTGTATTATTTTGTCTTTCCTTTGGGAAAGTTGCAGTTGCAGTGGCTGAACTGTTGTGTACCTGGGAGTGTGGGGGTTTGTTTGGGGTTGGGGTTGATGGGTTGGTGTCAATGGTGTAAAGTAGAAGAGATTGAAAAGTTTGATTGAAATCAAATGAAGTAATTGGTGTTTGTTCCAATATTCAATCAAAAGCTAGATTGATACAATTTTACTTTAATGAATACGTTTTGTTGAATATCATAATGATGTGTCGAGTATTTTGTTTCATTTAATTTTCAATATATAGATTGATATAATTCTACTTTAGAGCAGTGTTTTGTTTAATCTCCAACATGTAGAATGCGTATGAATTCTCAATTCTTAATTAATCATGTGTTGCCAATGTTGAAATTGATATAATTGATCATCGAAGCCATGTGTCAAATGGGACAATAGGTTGCATAGAAGTTGAATAATGTTGTGAAGCAAGACAATAATATTGTCATTGATGATTAAACGGTTTGTTTTGTGTTCAATTGTGAAGTGATGATTAGTTTTGTATGCTAGTTTGATTAATTAGTTTAGTATGCTGATATATATTGTGATTGATGATTAAATTGATTGTTTTGTGTGCAACTGTGGACTAATTAGTTTAGTAATTATGTAATGTTTATGTTGTGATTGGTGCATTTTTTAAAAGTAGAATTATTTGTAAATCGATTAAGAGGTTTGAATTTCTCATTCATTCTTTATTGTTAAAACAAGTTAACAACATTGTACTACTTGCTATTTTGGCATCGAAAAAACAAACAGTTTGAGCTTATTCACTACTTAAAAGAAGAAGAAAGAAGATACTTGTGCATATCTTCTTCAAATAAATGGGTACTCATGTTTACTTGTTAATGGCTTAATGCAATAGATGGAGTTTGAGTACAAGAGAAAATAAATGATGAAACCTTTCATTTATAAATTTATATGATCTTGAAACTGTTGGTAAGAGAAATGTTTGAATGAAGTTAATGAAATGTTTGAATGAAGTTGATGAAATGTTTGATCATTATTTTCCTCCTTTTATTTATAAATTTATATGATCTTATTATTATGAGGCTGAAATTTTGATCATTATTTCTTATTATTATAATGTTGAATTGTTGATCATTATTTTGTTTTTGTTCCTTATTCAACAGCATGTTGAAGAAGACTTGAGATCTAGTCTAAGTCTTGAGATCTGAATTTTGAAGTCAAGGGCGTTTTAAGATGGTTGAAGAATACTTTTTTTTCTTTTTTATTTGAGAGATACAATTGTAATTAGCAAATGTTTTCATTTTTTTTGCCAATGTTTTTATTAATGGGTGATGGATAATTGATATTTTATCTTTTTATTTCATATTCTGGATTCAACATTTGAAAATGGATAATTTTACAAGATAGTCACACAAAGAATAGAACAAGAATTTATATATATATGAATTTGGGGACTTAAATGTAAAAACTGAAGAATATAAGGTTGAATTTGAGAACCGATTTAAAACCGGTTAACTATTAATTGAATCGAATATTTGGTTCGGTTCAAATTCGGTTTATGCATTAACTGGTCTGGTTTTGGTTTAGCTTTTTGTTTGAACCGAATAACCGGTTTGGTTCACAATTTGCCCAATTTGGTTCGGTTAACCAGATTTTCCTATACCTTTGGGGCCCAAACTAACCTAGCATTCAGTGGCCAAACCCCAACCAGCAAAGAAAACCAACCACACACTAGCCGAGGCAACCAGCAAAGAAAACCAACCACACACTAGCCCAGGCAAACACAAAGAACCAAGAAACCAAAAACATTAAAGAAAAGACTACTGACATTGAGAATTCAAACAACCAATAGCTAAAATCAAAACAAAATTGACCCAAACACAAAATATGAAACCTATTTTCACTAAGCACACACAATGACATTTAATTAAACAAAACCACAAAGAGAGTTTACGTGCTTATAGATGTGAGTCGAAGCTGAGCCAAAAGTGAGAAGATCAGAGAGGTGTGAGTTGAAAGAGAGAAGATTGGTCGGATTTGAGTTGAAAATGGGCAAGGCAAGCTGTGTTGACGAAACGAGAGAGAGAGCGCAAGATAGAAAAAGATTATTCGCTCGGCTTGTGAATGAGTGAAGAAGGAGAAGAAGGAAGAAGAAAGTTTGCATGTGTACGAAAAAGTTAATGAGAGAGACAACCCACAACGGTAAAATGTCAAATAGAATACGATTTGGGGTAGGATTTGAATTGAATATTTAAACAAATATGTATTATACTGTTTAAACTGAATATGAAGAGTGGAATAGTTTTTTAAAAACGATATCAAACGCAGAAGTATTTTAAAATTATTTTTGAATCACAAATCAAATATACCAAACCTGAGCTCAAGTCCAAGTCTGAATCCATTATTGGGCCAACCGCTAAAGCCGGTCCAAATAGGGCCCAAGATTTTACAATTATGTCAACTCCTTCCGGTCACTCCTTCATTTCAACGAAATCAAACAATATATCGCGTCCCCTTCCCAAATCTAACACACGACGAAGAAAAATAAGGAAAAGCCAAAGAAGAGCTAGTTGGTGTATTTTTATTTTCAATTTTCATTATTATGTACTAAGCTCCCGTAGAACTCGAAGCATATATCGTCATCGTCATCGTCATCGTCATCGTCATCGTCATCTGCAATCTTGACCTTTGAATCCGCCGATCCCACCGTCCCTTTCCCCTCTTNACACGACGAAGAAAAATAAGGAAAAGCCAAAGAAGAGCTAGTTGGTGTATTTTTATTTTCAATTTTCATTATTATGTACTAAGCTCCCGTAGAACTCGAAGCATATATCGTCATCGTCATCGTCATCGTCATCGTCATCGTCATCTGCAATCTTGACCTTTGAATCCGCCGATCCCACCGTCCCTTTCCCCTCTTCTTCGCCGCGCCATGTCAACTTCACCCTCCTCTTCCGCCCTAGTCCGATCTCTCTCTTGCCTCCTTCTCCTTCTCCTTCTCTCTCTTTCTCTCGCCACCGAGTCCGATCACAAGGTAATCTCCGACTAGATCTCGGCATTTGCTTTCTCATTCCCTTTCAGATCTGATCCAATTTCGCTTTTCGTTGTCTTCGTTTTTAGAGATTTGATGTTGTTGTTGTTGTTTTCGACCGTAATTTTTTTTCCGTGGCTGTGAAATGGCGTGATTTGAAACTTTAGGGTTAGATCTTGTGTTGTTTGGTTGTGACGGATCTTGAATTATTAGAAGTGTTTTACAAATGTTAACATGCAAAGTTAGAGCAGTGTGTGTTCGGTGAGGATTTTTAATTCGTTTTTAGTTGTATTTGTGGATTTTGGGGTCAATGTAAGCGCTTGTTGGCGCGAGAGTGCTTCTGTTTGTTGATTGAGATCTTGTCTGTTAATGGGGATATTAGCTAGTTCGGCTGGTCAGATTTCGTGTTGCTCTGGGATTTAATCTCAGGTTAACTTCGGTTTTGTATGGTTTGGGGCAAGGTGTGATATGACCCAGAAAAAAGTATTGATGTATTGGATCTTGTTCTTTATTGAAGGACATGTCAAGTAAAGATTAGTTTTGAGGGCTTATTAGGTGGAAATGTGTATATTTGATGTACTTATACTCATCTATATGTCTCTACCTCGTGAAAGGTGGGCATTATCTGAGTGTTGAACTCTAGCATGGTCCTTGTGCCGGGATGAGAAGCACAAATTGAGATAGGAGCACTAAATTAACATGAGCTGACCATGCTGGTTCATTCTTTATCTGTTGGAACATGATCTTACCTTTGTAGAAGTGGGTCGAGTAGTAATATGTTGACCTTAGTATGCCGTTCTAGCTGGCCTAGTATTTAGGACTTAAGCTGGAAACAAGCCATTAGAGGGGGTTATCCAATATGATTTGAACCAGAAGTCTCTATTTTTACGAAACTCAGAATGTGTCCTTTGTATAGCTTGATTTAATAATTCTGGCCTTAATGCTAGGCTGTCTTGACGTTGGGTTGAATGGTGCTGAAGGTCTAGGCTTATATAATTTCTGGCTAATGATATTGGAATATTATATTACTTAAATAATCACGTGTATAGACTGGTTAGAGTGACTTTTGATGCTCAATCATGACAGGAGATGCTTAAATAAAGCATATGTTGTCTAATCCCATGTCTGAGCCATGTATGTCTGATATTATCTTTCTTACTCTGGGAAAGGTCAAAATGATTTTTGTTTTTACCAGGTAAAAAAGATTTGTGTTGTGACCATGCCTAAGATTTCTTAAAATATATCTCATTGTTCATTTACATTTTGAACATGGCTCTGTTGAGGCATCTTCTTGGAGAAAGTTTGCATTAGACAAACTTATCTTAGCTAATTTGTACCAAGTATGTAAAATGTTTTTGTAACTTAAGATACAAGAATACAACAACTAAGAACTGATATTATAAAATTTTGATTTGACTACTTATTAGACATCACCTTTGGAGCAAGTATAATATCAATAATTTGTGGTTAGCAGGGAATCACATGTCTTTTGTTTTCTTTTGGGCTATCATGGATGATTTTATCCCTATATATCTTTTTGCATAATAAGCTTCGTGATTATTTTGAGCCTGCAGATTTTATGTTTCTCTCTCACTCACTCACACAAATACCAGTACACGCACTGAAACACAGTTCTATGTCATTTTGATTGAGTCCTGTTCCACATGAAACTTATGTTTTTACAATGTATATATTTGGGAAAAGAGTGGCTGGAAATTAACTTGAGGTTAGATGTAGCATAAGTTGTAGCTCTTGCATTTGTTACCACACATTATGATTTGCCTTGTTTTTCCGTTCCTTTTATGTATCTTCATTAACACCACATATTCCTTCTTTTGCAGTATCAATCAGATGATCCTGTTACACTTTGGGTGAATAAAGTTGGACCTTATAACAATCCACAAGAAACATACAACTATTACAGCCTTCCTTTTTGCCATCCAACTGGTAATCCTGCTCACAAATGGGGTGGTCTTGGTGAGGTCCTGGGAGGGAATGAACTTATTGATAGTCAGATTGACATAAAGTTCCAGAGTAAGTAGATTTGGTTATATTCATAATTTTGTTTTTGTAGTTTCTTGATCATTATGGTTGCATTTCTTTTGAACCTTTTTTTTATGATATTTTCAATTTTGTACAGAGAATGTGGACAAAAGTGTCATCTGTCAATTGGAACTTGATGAAGCAAAGGTCAAACAGTTCAAAGATGCAATTGAGAACAATTATTGGTTTGAATTTTTCATGGGTATGTTTTAAGTATCTGTTCTTAATTTTATTAGTTAGTTGTAGAAGAACTACTAGGAAGTACATGTTTTTCTTCTGTCGGTGCTTATATGTATATGTCTTTTGTCTGTGCTTATTTGTATATGTTTTACTCTGGCTCAAACTTTTTCCTTATTTCTTTCGCTTTTCTTCTGATCTCATGTTCTCTGGTCTCTGATAAATACTGCCCGCAAGTTCAGATGATCTGCCTTTATGGGGTATGTAGTCAATAATTTTTTATCTGTTTGTTCTTCTTTCTAGATTATTCAATCAATTGTGCTTGAATGCTTATCTCTTTGTTGTTTTAGGCTTTGTCGGTGATCTGCATCCTGATAAGAACAGTGATAATGGCAAGCATGTCTTGTACACCCATAAGAATATTATTGTCAAATACAACAAAGATCAGGTCTGTGCTTCTGAAGTTTCCTTAGGCCTTTTATATCTGGCTTCCTATTCCATTTCTATTTAATTTAACTTTTCTTTTTGTAGATTATTCATGTTAATCTTACTCAAGAGAACCCAAAGCCTCTGGAAGCGGGGAAGAATCTAGACATGACATACTCTGTCAAATGGACATCAACTAATGTTACTTTTGCACGTAGATTTGATGTTTATTTGGACTACCCTTTCTTTGAGCACCAGGTAAACATTAATGTTGGTTGTTGGTTTTCCTTTTATCTTTGCAGTTTTGTTTGCATTGTAGTTGTAACTTTCATATTCTTATAGAAGTAATTTGTTAACTTAGCAACTGTTGCATTGTTCGGTGGCTCATAATATAGTCTGTTTCCATGTTAATTCATGAGTTGCTAATGCATCTTGCAAACTCCAGATCCATTGGTTCTCCATTTTCAATTCATTTATGATGGTTATCTTCCTTACTGGTTTGGTGTCGATGATATTGATGCGAACTCTTCGAAATGACTATGCCAAATATGCTCGCGAAGATGATGATCTGGAGACTTTGGTAATGTTATCTGCGCACTGTATCTTTATTAAATTCCTGGGTTGATTGGCCTATGTCCTTCATTTTCATTGTATATGGCAATGAATAATATATTCTAAGTTTTGAT